ACACGCAGGGAAAGCCGGGTGGTGGGGACAGCACAAGACACATGGAAAATGGGGACACCATGGGACACAAGGGCAACGGGGACACCCCGGGGCATCCAAGGACATCTGGCGAGCAGACACACCCCAGGACACCCAGATAATGGGAACATCATGGGATACACAGATGATGGGGACACCTGGACAATGTCCTGTCGTGAGACACCTGGATAATGGGGACACCATGGGGTACACGGACGATGGGGACATCTGCTTGAGAATATGTGGGGACCAGGGACATCATGGGATATAAGGATGATGGGAACATCTAAGCAAGGTTGGGCTATGGGGACACCACAGGACACAGACAGTGGGCACATCCAGGGACACATGGACAATGGGGACATCCAGGGGATGGGGAACATCTGGAGACCAGGGACATTCCTGGACACATGGGCAATGGAGCATTGTGGGACACAAGCATGATGGGGACATCCAAGGAAACCTGGATGATGGGGCCATCATGACAATGGGAACACCCCGAGGTGCTCAAGGACATCTGGGGACCTGGGACATGTGGATGATGGGGACATCATGGGACACATGGACAGTGGGGACACCCAGGGGTTCAAGAACATCGGGGGACATAAGGATGATAGGGACATGCATAGAAACCTGGGTGATGGGGACACCCAGGGACACACAGACAGTGGGCACATCGAGAGACATCAGGGCAATGGGGACACATTGGGGTGCTCAAGGACATCTGGGGAGGGGGCCACCCCAGGACACCAGGGGAATGGGGACATCACAAGGCACACCAGTAATGGGGACACCATGGGTTTGATGGAGACATCCAATAGCTCAAGAATATCTGGGGACCAGAGGCACCATGGGACATAACGATGATGGGGACACCCCTGGCTGCCCAAGTATATCCAAAGACACCAGGGCAACGGAGACACCACAGGACACATGGATGATGGGGACATCCCAGGACACCAGGGCAATGGGGACACACTGGGGTACCCAAAGACATCCATGGACCAGGAATGTTGGGGACATTTTTGGACCAGGATCACCCAGGGATGCCTATGGAGACCAGGGACACACAGGGACTGAGGACATGAAGGAGCACCTAGACACCGGGGACACCCTGGGTTGCCCATGGGGACAAGGATGACTCAGGGATGCCCATGGAGTGGGAACCATGAACACCTTGGGATGGGCACGAGGGACACTTGGGCATGCCCAGGCCATCTCCACATCCTCTGAGCCAGGAGATGGGACCAAGGTGCCACCAAAGGGGTAGAAGATGGTGCCAGGGATGGGGACCATGGGGCTGATCCCCTCCATTCCCCCCGCAGTTCCGCGGCTGCATCATGGAGATGGTCTGTGGAAAGCCCATGACGGATGACTCGGATGTGTCCAGCTCTGCCCAGAGGACAGAGGTCTCCTCTGTGTCCTCCAGCCAGGTCAGCCCCAGCTGAGGAGCCGCCAGCCACAGCCCCCCCCGCTATGGGGCTGGGGCCACCCCAGGATGTAGGTGCTGGTGGAACAATAAAGCACCACCCTGGTCCCAATTCAGTGAGGAGCTTCTGTGGCCCCACAATGGGGTGGGGATGGGGGGACTATGTGTGGGGCTCAGCCCCACAGTGCTGTGTGCCATGGAGGTGTCACTGTGGGGCTCTGCACCATTGGCCTGCCCAGGACACACAGGCAGGGATGTGGGATGATGTCCACCATCCATCCATGCGGCTGAGCTGCTCATCTGTGGGGCTGAGGTGGTTCTGGACCCCTCATCCATGGGGCTGGAGTGCTTCTGGATCTCATCTATGAGGCTGGGGTGGTCCTGAGACCCCCACACATGGGGCTGGGCTGGATCCCAGCATGAGATTGAGGCAAGGATGGATCCCATCCATAGGGTTGGGGTGAAGCTGGGGCCTCATCCATGGGGCTGTGGTGGTTCTGAGCCCCATATCCATGGGGCTGGGGTGGTTCTGAGCCCCACAGCCATGGAGCTGGGGCAAGACTGGATCCCACCCATAGGGCTGGTGTGCGGTTGAACCACATCCAAGGGGCTGGGGTGGTGCTGGGAGCTCATCTATGGGGCTGGAGCAGGACTGGATCCCATCCACAGGGCTGGGAACCAGTGGGCAAGACCCCCCCAGCCCCACACATTCCCTCATGGTCTCTGGACCCCCCCATCCCAACTCATGGCGGGGGTGGGAAGCGATTCTGGAGCCACATCCACCCTCTCCAGCCACGTAACCACTTCCAAAGGAAGCGATGCCATTGGTGCCCATCCTGCTCCAGGCAAGCCAAGGGGTGGGCACCCCTGCAGGGCCTGACTTTGGGATAAAGCCAAAGGAATTCCATTAGGAGGCAGCGTGGGGTGGATGGAGCCGGGATTTATTGAGCCACAGTTGGACACAACTGAACCCATCCCAACAAACACCCAGGGAATAAACATGGTGGGATGAGGGGACAGGAATTTGGGAAGGAAATTAGTGTTTGGAGTCATTAATGCTGCTCCCAGTTTCAAATCCATTTGGGAAGAGGAAGTTGGAGTCAAATCCCAGACCGGGATCACTGCATCCACCACTGAGCTCTACCCAAATCCAACTGGGAAGAGCACCTATCCCTGTGGTTGGTGGTTTAACCCCTGGAGTGGGATTGAGGGCAGAATCCGGGTGGATTTTCCATACATCCCCTCAACCAGTGACTGGCACCAACCTCTCAACCAGAGTCAGATCCATGTTGATGCCAGCTGGTGCCAGGATGGAATCATGACATTCCCGGATCCACGTGGTTTAAAAACAAGGGAATTATGGATAATATTAATATTAACATTATTCATCATCATCCTGCCCTGGCTGGGCCGTTTCTCCTCGGAATGGGGGTGTTTGGCTGGATTAAAGGCACTTGGAGCAACATTCCGGGGTGGAAAAGAGGGAAAACACTTGGATGGGCAACAAGAAGCCACCACCACATTGATGGTTCATTAACAGGCCCATTAATGACTGGAGGACACGATGGTGGCCAACTGAAGCCAATGGAGAGGGAGTTTGGTGGTTCCAGCTCTTCCAGCAAGACAAGAGCGGTTGGGTTGGCCAAGCTGGGTCCATCCCAATCCTGGCTCTACTCCAGCTCTGGTTTAGTGCTGGGTTTCCATCAGGTTCAATGGATTTTGGGCTTAGTAAAGTCAATTACTTGGGTCTTGATTGGTTGAGTTTGTTGGAGTCCACCCCAAGGAGGAAAGGCCAAGAGCGAGGGTGGGTGAAGGGGAAGCCAGGAGGTGGCTTCCTGGGAGGAGGAGGAGGAGGAGGAGGAGGAGGAGGAGGAGGAGGAGGAGAAGTTCCTTCACGTCACACGGAACCCTCCTAGTATAAAACCCAGACAACGTGGCTCAAACCACTAGAGAATGAGTCAATCTAAAAAAAAACACCCCCCAAAAACCCCCAACTGAACCCCAAAAGCGCCGTTAAGAAGTGTTGGGTCTCCCAACGGCATCTCCCCATCCCTTCGGGAAGGAAGGAGGAGATGGAAAGAGGACGGGAAGAGAGGGTTTCGTTGGCGACATTGCACCTCAGTGCCTGACCCCACCGGGCTCGGGAGCCCCCAAACGTTTCCGACCATCAATCCCAGGAATTGGAAGCAATAAATTACGTGGGAATGGCTCCAGGCTCAGAACTCGTCGTGTCTCACCAAGGCCTCCCCGAAGTCCGTGGCCTGGCTCCCCACAAACAGGTCGTACTTCTCCACGATCTCCTCCTTGGTCAATTTGCCATCCTGCAGGGAAAGAGGGATATTCCCATCCTCAGCCCTCCATCGCATCCCATTTTCCCATGGTTCTCCCTTCTTTTGGTCTACCAAACCCAACTCAACCCCTCCATGGATGCTCAGCACAACGCTGGTGGGACACCCAAGCGTCGTCCTCACACCACGGTGCCATTCCCACCTTGTTCTGGTCGGATTCGTAGACAAGGTGCCGCGCTTCCGCCTCGGCGTGGTCGTAATCGGAAGGGAGGATCCAGTCTTTGGTTTCCTCTTTGTCCATCCTGCCGTCGTGGTTCTTATCCCGGAATTCCACAAACTGCTCCCGCTCCGTTTTCACCCACTCGGGTTCGTCGGCATCACCGTCGTGGCTGTACATGTCACCTATAGGACACAATTATCTGCTTGGACACCATCCCAACACCTCTTCCCAAGGGAAGAGCCACCGCTGAGATGCCTCTGTTGATGGACACGTTGACAAGATGCCCCCTTCCACCTTCAAGTATTCACTTTATATCCCTAAATCCCTCTCCAAACCCACATGGAAAGGAAAGCAGCATTTCTCCTGATGTATTTTGGAGTTAGCAGCCCCCCACCACGGATAAATCCCAAGTTTTGGGCAGATATAGCCATCCCTCTGGGATCTGGGAGCTGCTTTTCCCATCCTGAGCCCCCAGTACCAGGATATAACACAGGAATCCCACCATGAGGTCAAAGCAAGGTCTAAAGTCAGGAGGTCAAGAGAGATAAAATTCCAAGGGGGGAAGGGATGGGACAGCACATTCCAGCAGCAAATTTCAGGCTGGATGAAGCAAAGAAGGGACAACAGTGATATCTCACCTATGTACTCCTCCAGGTCAATGAAACCATCTCCATTCTTGTCTATGTCCTCCATGGTTTCCTGCAAGGAGAGGATGGTGGGTCCCATGGAATCCCCCTCCTTTCCCAGCACTGATCCAGCCACAGGATGTCCAAAACCCCCCAGTATCCAGGATCTTACCACAGGCCAGCTCCTGGTGCCCACCCAACCTTCTCCATCTGCTTGCTCAGTAGCAGCAGGAGGAGGCCACCCACCTGCACAACAATGTCCTTCATGTAGTCGTACTCCTCAGGGTGCAGGAAGGCCGTGAACTCCTCCTTGGTGGCTGTCAGGTCCCCATCCTTGTCAGCCAGCTTGAAGCGCCGCTCATCCCGCACCATCATCTGCTTGTAGTTGAAGCCATCGTCAGGGTCCGGGTCATCTGAGGGGAAGAAAGGAGCCAGGGGTCAGCTTGGTCAGGGGGAGGTGGCTCATGGGCATCAGAAGCACAACACAATATCAGCAGCGTGACCTGAGGCTCCTCAATGCAACTTCAACATCCTCAATGCTCAACCCAACCTCAACCTCTTCAATGCAACCTCAAGCTCCTCAATTCAACTCCCTCAACCTCAACTCAATCCCAATGTCTCAATGTCCTCCACTGAACCCCAAACTCAACATCCTCAATTGCCTCAACCCAACCCCAACCTCAATCCCAGTATCTCCAACTTAACCTTCTCAACCCAACCCCAACATCCTCAATCCCAACACCTCAATATCAACTTAACCTCAACCCCAACATCTCCAACTCAACCTTCTCAACCTAACTCCAACATCCTCAATTCAACCTCAACCCCAATATCCTCAATGTCCTCCACTGAGCCGCAGCCTCAACATCTCCAACCCAACCTTCTCAGCCCAACCCCAACCTCAACATCCACAACTCAATCCCAACATCTCCAGCTCATGCTTCTCAACCCAACCCCAGCACCCTCAATGTCCTCTTCTGAACCCCAACCTCAACCCCAACATCTCCAACTCAACCTCAACCCAACCCCAACATCCTCAACATCCTCCACTCAGTTCCAACCCCAACATCCCCACCTCAACCCCCTCAACCCAACCCCACCCTCCTAACCCCTGTCCACAGCAGCCTCACTTTTATCTGCCAGCAGCTACCACATCCCTCCTGCACCAGCCCCAGCAGGAGCTGCCGGGAGCAGCATTCCCAGATCCCTGCTGGACCCAGGGAGCCATGGCAGGGTGGGGGGGGGTTATTTTGGCTGCCACGGGCCCGGCGGCTCAGCCCGGGCTATTTCTGGAGCAGAATGTGTAAGGGGATATTGCTCCAAAGCCCGGGATCCATCACCCACAGCAGGAATAGCTGGGCACATATGGACACCCGATATAGCCACAGCGACAGCAGGATACCGGCAGCAGCTTTGTTTGGGAAGCCTATAGGGAAAAGAGGGATGGAAGAGGCTGGAGCCGAAGGTGAAGTTAAGCAAGAGCCAAGGCCTGGACTAAGATCAGGCTCAGTCCCTTCCCTGTTTGCATCCAGTACAAAAGGGGGGATTCAGCTGCTCTAAAGCACAATTAAACCTCATGTTTCCTATTGTATTCCCGAGGTTTCACCCCAAAAGCAAAGGAAAACCATAGGATTGGATTGAGCTTTAACTGAGAAGCGAGCAAGATGCTGGTTTAACTGGATTTGGGGCTTAAGCTGCCCCCAAATACTTGGAATTTTAGTCCCTCTGACCCTGGTGGCACAAGGGAAATGTCTTCCAGGGCAGGTGGAGGGATTGAGAGCCAGGGAATGACTCTGGAGCAATTCCACAAGCTCCAGTTTTATAGGAGAAACAGGGATATTTGGGGTTTAGCAGCCAGCAGTGAGAGCCTGGGGGGGGGCTGAAAGAGGGAAAAAATATGTGTTATTATTATTAGAGTTCCTATTTTCAGGAAGTTTTAAAGGGAGTTTCACTCCCAGATGCAGCTTTGGGACTCTTTCCACTTCAGCATCACATTTTATCTTTGGATGCTTGGGAATGGATTGAAACCTGGCACCAACTTGCTCTGAGCTGCTTCATCCCGACAGCGGGTGACTAAAACCATCCCAAATCCACCCAAAAGCATTGCTCCAGGATGACAAAAGGCCGGCATTCCTGCAACCCTCAGCAGAGCAGCAGGGAGGGAGGTGCCTCGGCTCCCACGCGCCGGGATTGGGATGTGCTCGCTCCAGGCCGGGATCAGAGGCCTCTTGGCCGCCTCTCAACTCTCCCGAGGTATTTCCAGAGGCATTTCCAACGCTGCTCTGGGTGGAGAGGGGAGCAGGGAGGGGAGAGCTTTGTGCTCTGCTCCAGCAGAGAGGAGAGGTGGAAAAGCGATTCCAGCTGATACAAGGAGCGTGGAAGCGCGGCATTAGGCAGGAGAATGGGGAGATTGGGATGCTCCCGGTGTTCCATATGGGTAAATATGTGGGAGCAGCTTGATGAGCATGTGCCAAGGGCACTTGGCAGCAGACACCAGGCCTTGGTGGCACCTGAGTGCCCTGAGGCACTCCCCTCTCTTGCTATTGAAGCTTAGGAACTGGTTTCCTCACCGAGGTTCTCCTCACTAAGGGGGTTTAACCCATTAAGGTGGGGTTTATGAAGGATTGTACACCCCCAGCTCATAAAACCCACTGCATGGACCCCAAAAGGCACAATCAAACCATCCTAGGACCTTTCCTCCTGCTTGAAGCCTGGATTTAGAGGAGGAGATAGGCCAGACCTTCTCAACACCCAACTAATGGATAAGAGAAGCTGTCCCAGCCCTGAGGAGCTCAGTGAGACCTGGTGGGGTTTTGGGGGGCTCATTTCTCCAGCCAAACCTCAACCTTCCCCCCAGTTCCTTCCAAAGAAGCCTAGAAACAGGGATGATGGATGAGGCAAGAGCCTCCATAGGTCCTGCAGAGCATTTGACCATCTTTGGCAATATTTAGTCAATGAAAACCTTATCTCATGCTCTCAAGCTGGAGCTCATCACACCATATATGTCAGCGTTCCAAGAGGCAGGAACAACTGGCAGAGGAGCTGGGAGAGCTTCCTCATGTCTTAACCCCCGAAGAGCTTCTTCTTACTTCACTCCTTGGGGTGGTTTAAGTCCTCATGGGGGCTCCTGACCTAAGTGGCAAAACCTACAAGCTCTGTGGATAAGGGGAATAGATAGGGGGATATCCCCTTGATAAGGGGAAGGAGGGAGATGTGCACAAGGAGAAGACTCTTTGCTAAAGATCTTCCAACGATTTAGGTGGAGACACCCAGAAAGAGGCTTCTACAGCCAGGGGTTAGTTGGTGTCTCTCTGCAGGGGCTAAATGCCACCAGGAGCTTGAAATTCAGAAGCAAGAAGGTAGAATTTAGATGGGATCTGAGGGAGTTCTTCACTATGAGGGTGGTGGGACACGGAATGGTTTGAACTCCAGCTGCCCCATCCCTGGCAGTGTTCAAGGCCAGGTTGGACACAGGGGCTTAGAGCAACCTGCTCTAGTGGAAGGTGTCCCTGCCTGTGGCAGGGGGGTGGAAATGGAGGAGTTTTAAGGTCCCTTCCAACACAAACCATTCTCTGATTACATAATTCCATGCCAAGAAGCACTCCACAAGGGCCTTGCCCCCAACTGAGCGTTGAGCTCCATTCCATAGTGAAGCACATCAATAAAGCAGAGTTAAAGCCACGTGCTGATGCCCAACTTCACTCAGGGGATGGTTTCTCCCCCATCTTTAGTTTTCCCTTTGATTAATGCCACCAGAAGGTCAATTTGGAGTTTTGGGAGGGGGGAGGCTGGAGCTCCTCATACCTCTGCTTTATTGATTCGAGCCCACCACCAGCCGGGGCCACCTCGTCCCTTACCGAGGTACGTGCCATACGTCACGTTCCTGTACTCATCCCAGGAGATAAATCCATCTTGGTTCATGTCAAACTCCTGCCACTGCCGTTCCACACTGTCATACACGTATTTCTTCTGGGCCTTCTTAATCCAGGCTTTGAGCTCCCCCTCGGTCACAAACCCATCCTTATCCGTGTCTATTTTAGCTACAATCACTCTACAAAAACAAAACAGCAAGTTTCAAGCGCCGGCTCCATACAGGTTGTATCCCATGAGTAGGAACCTACCTAAGATGTAGCCGTAGGTGGCATTTTTATACTCCTCCCATGAAATAAGGCCGTCCTCATTGAGGTCGTGCCCCTTCCACTGCCGCTCTACGTCCTCGTAGATCCACCGTTTTTGGGCAAACTTAATCCAGGCTTTGAGCTCCTCCACCGTTACAAACCCGTCCTTGTCTTCATCTATCTTACTTACAATCTTTCTGTGGGGAACGCAGAGAAAAATCCAGCACAAGTTAAAGGAAATGAAGGGGTTGGGTCTATACGGACAGGCCAAGGTGGTTCATCCCCGTGACCACATGGAGAACTTGTCTGTACAACTAAGGGGTGGCTGAGGTGGTTGAACCTCCTTTGCTCACTGCTGAGCACATCAGGGGTTGTGCTCTTTGGGAATGAGGTGTTTTAGGGCGGAATGTTTGCTCCTTAGACATTGGGAAATGAATCTGTTTACACTTCGGGGTGTTAGTGCATGAGAAGCTCAACAGAATCCATCGTGTGCTGCACCCCCAGAGCGTGAGCAGCAGCTCAGGGAGGGGATCCTCCCCCTCTGCTGTGCTCTGGGGAGACCCCCCCTGCAGTCCTGATCCAGCTCTGGGGCAGCAGCACAAGAGGGACGTGGAGCTGTTGGAGCGAGTGCAGAGGAGGCCACGGAGATGCTGCGAGGGCTGGAGCAGCTCTGCTCTGGAGCCAGGCTGAGAGAGCTGGGCTGGGTCAGCCTGGACAAGAGAAGGCTCCTGAAGGGGAGACCTGAGAGCAGCTCCAGTGCCTAAAGGGGCTGCAGGAAAGCTGGAGAGGGGCTTTGGACAAAGGCCTGTAGGGACAGGCCAAGGGCAATGGCTTTAACCTGCCAGAGGGGAGACTGAGATGAGCTCTTAGGCAGAAGCTCTTCCCTGTGAGGGTGCTGAGGCGCTGGCACAGGGTGCCCAGAGAAGCTGTGGCTGCCCCATCCCTGGCAGTGTTCAAGGCCAGGTTGGACACAGGGGCTTGGAGCAAGCTGCTCTAGTGGAAGGTGTCCCTGCCCGTGGCAGGGGTTTGGAATTGGAGGAGCTTTAAGGTCCCTTCCAACACAAACCAGTCTGCGAGTCTAAACTGGGAAGGAACACAAAGGCTGTCTCTGGGGCTGAGCACACCCTCCCAGGGCACTGGTGGGACACATCCAGGTCCAATCCCACCCGTTTATCCTGAGGCAGAAACCGGAGCCGCTGGCACGGGGCCGCTGTTATTTATAGCAGCAGCTGTGAGGGAGGAATGTGGATCCATAGGCAGATGCACACGGGCCAGGAGGGGGGAGAGGGTCTGCTTCAGCCTCACCATTCCTCATGGTTTACTCCTAGGAGCAGCCGTGGGGTTTGCAGGGTGCGGGGCCGGCACAACACATCACAGTGCTGGGTGCTGAAGCCCAGGGATGAGAGCTCCAAAGTGTTCTTATCACACAAAGCAAAGCCCACAGATGGCCCAAAGGGCATTCCCAAAAGATGGAGAACTGGGATAAAACCATTAAAGATGTTTGGGTTGCTTAGAGAAGTGTCTTTACACTCAATTTAACCAGTTTGATGACCATGCACCGTGTTTTGGATGCCAGAACCACTTTAATACACATTATTCCTGACTGGTGGGCATCATCCTTCTCTGGATTATCCCACAATGGGCTCTGAGGACTGGACTCCCTGGGGAATTTCCCCCAGCTGCTTCTCGGTGTTAAATCAGAGCCATTGTGGTTTCTGTGATACCAAAGTGCGTGGTGGTGGCAGCAGCAGGAGGTGACAGAGCAGAGGCTACACCAGGAGGCTGGGACAGGGGCAGATACCACATGAACCCACTTTTTGTGGGAATTCTGGCCAGGAATGATGGAACACAGCCCCCAGCTGCAACCTAAGGGGCTGCTGGGCACCGGGACAAGGCTACATTGGAGCAGGACCAGCCTTCGAGCTGGTCTAGCGGCTTCGTGCCCAAGCCCGAAGTTCCCAGGCCGGTTTCCCAGGGCAGGAGCCACCAAATCCATGAGTTTTAGGCAAAATAATCCCGTACTCTAGCACTTTGGTCACGGAGGGAGGGGGTGGCAGCAGCTGCTCTGCAGGGCAGGCAGCTGGAAGGAAGGAAGAGGATTTGTGTGCTCTGTGCTATCACTGAGAAACTCAGAGCATTCCCAGAGCGTTGCCTTGATCCTGAAGCTTTTAAGGAACAACCAGAGCAGGGGAACGCTGTTCTGAAATCCCGATGACCTCAAGAAACAGGGAAAAGAGCCATAGTGAAAGGAGCCTGGAAAACCAGGTCCTTCCCACAGCCTTAAAGCCACGGCGCCATCAAAACATTCCAAGTGGAAAGTCTGAGGCAGCCCCGCTCCCAGCTGCCAGCTTGTTCCAGGAGATAACTCAGCAGAACAATGGAATTACAAAGCGTGGAGCAGTGAACACAGCCTCAGGGTCAGGAAAACAATCCCGGGAGGGGGGGAATTCCCAGTGTATCCCTATATCCCAGAGCTACATGTTGCCCTTTTGCATCCGCTCCGGCTTTTAGGGGGAGGGAGAGCTTCTTTCCAAGCTGTTTTCCTTGTAAAAAAACACCTGGATTGTCAATTTTGAAGTTTCGTGGCTGATATGGACGGATCCAAAGGGGTTTTCCCAGTTTAGAGCCTCAGGGTAGGGGGGAAATTCCCATTCCAGCCTCTAGAAAAGCCTCTTTTATAGGAGGTGGCATTGGCTTTGCCTCACCTTTAGCATGAGCCGGCAGCCTGGACGGTCCATATGGATGTTAAAGCACATGGGAATGCTCAGGTTTTGCCTGGCAAATCCAGGGCTGGAATTAGATGAGCTCTAAGGCCACTTCCAAGCCAAACCGTGGGGAAAAAATAGGGAAAACAGAGGGAAACCAGGCAAAACTGGAGGGTTAACAGGCAGTTTGGATGGTGACAAACCAAGACCTTCAGCCTGACATGGTGAGGAACATCCCACCACAAAGCCAAGCCTTTTCCATAGGTTTAAGCTTTCCTAAGCCCATTGGGAACAACTGGGAGAGCAGCTGCTGTCGGGAGCACAAAGGAGGAGGTTGTAGTGCTCTGGATCCAGGGATTTGCCAGGGCTGGAGCTGGGAGTCTCCAATAACCCCCGCTGCTGATGGCTGCAGGTGGGAAGGGGGGAAAAAAACACTGGAGGAGAAGTCAGTTTTCAAGGGATTGCCTGTCTTCCCTGACTTGTGGCTCTCCAGCTGCTTCCCAAGTGGGAATAACAACATACAGGAATCCCATGGGCCTTCCAGTGGTAACTGGAGCCCTGTGAGGTCATTTGGAGTACGGCAAAGTGGGGGACGCTTCATATCACATGGAATTCCTAAGGTTTGGGGGCTTAGGAGCAAGTGGGAATGGTTGGGATGACTCAAATTGACCTTGAAGGCCAAG